AAGCATCTGACTTGAAATGTGATGGAGCCGGGGGGCGAATTTTCATAGTGTCCTCCATGTTTTATTCCATATGACTCGTCGCAGTATCCCGCGGCCGGACATGCTAGTGACACAATCGATTCTTGCCTTCAAGAATTGATGCAGTAGATCACAAGAATTAGAATCGCGATGCATCGTCATGACGATTATTTTGCACACCCCTATTGCAGACCGGACTTTTCTTTCTCCTACATCCACGTTTGTCAAAGAACAAACATGGATGCCTCCAGTAAAGCACATTCAAATGAAAATTACTCTCAATTAAAAACACTGATCATTTATTGAACAGGATGGAATAATTTTATATTTAAAGAACTTTCAGCAGTTTGAATTCTGAATATGAGCGACTTTTCCTTTAAAACCTAAGGCAGGGTTTATATTTAGACAAAATCTAGTTCCTGACTATAGATGTGCTCCTCTAAAGCCAAAGGCTTCCTTTACCTACATGCAGTTTGTCATTCTATAGAAATACAGTTTAATGGTTTAGATGAAACAAAAGCAGCTTTGAACGTGGAACCTGACTCACTTCAGGACCTGGGCGACGGTGTTGGGTCCGTACCACTGTCCGATCGGCTTTCCCTCTCCCACTCCCATCTGGGCTGCAGCAGAGACCACAAAAACAGTTGAATGGAAACCAGTGAGAGGCAGAGCGCAGAGCTCTGAGGATGACAGCTCACCGATTTGATGGATGGAATAGTAGCTGTCTTTTTTATCAATGAAGGCGTTGAGAATGCTGATGTATTCTTCTCTTTGTTTCTGCTCTCTGGCCCATCTCCAGTCTGAAAAACAAAAAGCCGTATCTCAGATCTGCCTGGACCAGCCCTGCTTTGGTACAGTCTATTTGCTGAAATCTAGCTGCTACGTGTCGAACGTCTCACCCCTGCCTAGGTGTCTACACATCAGCGCCTCCCCCAGAATCATCTGGCCGCACCGTAACATACACCCCCACCCTGTGTCCGACGTCGGCCCCGTTCCTCCTGTAACACATTTCCTCTGCAGCTTAGCACATAGGAGACGGGAGCGGCTGTCAAACAGGCGGCTGCTGAGCGACTCACCGATGGGCGGGAAGTTTTTCCTGTATGTGAACCACAGTCGTGATGTGACGTCCGACAGAATCTCATCTTTCTCTGCGTTCATTAAAGACATCAAACATCAGCATGGAAAAAGCGCTTTGCTCCAGTTTTATTCATCAAGAGAAGAGAAGCACAGAGTGGTTTCACCTGTGAGCGCGTTGTACTCTTTCCCCAAGATCCACACAGGCTCCGAGGTCTCAGGAAAATCTTCAAACTCTCCGAACCGAAGTGTGTCGTACGTTAATGTAGCTGCAAACACAAACAAAGAGGAGGTGGTAATGCGCTGAACTCTGCGACGTCTGGCTGATACCCGGGAAGCTCTCAGACACTGAAGCGGCGTGATGATCCATTAGCTGGATGAGCAGAACTCCAGGATGTTTATTTTTATGCAGCCAGCTTTTCATAAACAACTTCCTATACTCTGAGTAATGATAGCGCACATTAGATGTGAAAACAGAAGAATGTCGGGGGCCTTTCTAGAGCACTGATTATCAAAGTCTGGGTTGTCTCCTCACTCAGGGACCTTGATCAAACAGTTGGGGTCTTGCGATCTAAAACAGGAATTCAGCTGAGTGATAAACATTTATGTTTGAAATGATCAAACATAAAAAAAACCCAGGACACATTGGAGAGACTATGTTTCTCGGCTGGCCTGGGAACGCCTCCTGAGGGGCTAGAAGAAGTGGCTGGGGAGGGGGAAGTCTGGGCCTCCCTTCTTAGGCTGCTGCCCCCGCGACCCGACCCCGGATAAGCGGAGGAAGATGGATGGATGGATGGATGGTGGTCAAAGATCATATAAAGGTCACTTAAAAATGTTAAAAACCAACTACTTTGGTTGTGGAGGCTCTTGATAATATTATCTACAAACATTTATAAACTTAAAGATTTGGCTCACGAGTCGACTCCCGTATATTTTTTTGGATCAGAAGCTGAAACGTCTGGGAACCTCTGATCTGGAGCCTTAAAATGTACTTTAAATGGAAGACATGTATACATGTGAGGCAGACATACGACGGAGTATTAGGGCCACACATGAAGAGAAAAAATATTTTTGCCATGACGAGATTAAACTCGACATGTCGACTTTAAAGTCGACATGTCGCCCTCTAACGGTTAGTAAGTGTACAGTAGTGAGCGGTTACTCGTTTCATATGAAAGTTAAGTTTATACAAGTTAGTAATATAATGCAAGAAGCTTAAGAAAAAAAATAGTTTGTTCTTCTTTACTGGTTAAAAAAAGTCGACATGTCGACATTAAACTCAACATTTCGAGAATAAAGTTGAAATGTCATGTTGAGTTTAATTTCGACGTGTCGACAATAAAGTTGAAATTAGTTCAAGAGAGCCAACCGCTGCACAGGATACATGCACAGAATCCAGAATCAGACATGCCTTGTGTAGATGGTCAAATTGTACTTTCTGTGATGATTATACAGTTATACAGTTGCAGCACGTCAAAGACTACCTTCACTCTTAAAACGCAG